AGCTAAGTGGAAGGTGAAGCCAAGTGGGAGTAGGGTATGAATTTTTTTAATTATTTTTTGAATAGAGCCGAGGCATATGCTATTCTATTAGTCCAAAGGTGCATGGTTTATAGGAATTTTTATTTGGTTAATTTGGTTAATTTTGAATATAATTATTTAAAATTAAATTAATTAAATTATATCATTTAACTTTTGTTAATTAAATTAAATTTATTAATTTTAAAAATTAATCGATCGAATTTAATTTGATCATTTTAATTATTTTTTTATTAATCAAATAATAAATATATTTAAGTTAAATTATATTTTAAATTCTTAATTTTTCATATTTTAAATAAATTAAATAAAATTATCCAACAAAATAGTCAAATATCAAAATATTACATTAAAAATTTTAACAATTTATGAAAAAAATAATTAATTTCATGTATTTTTTATTTTATATTTAAATTATATTATATTTTGATTAAAATTTTAATTAATTTAATTAATTTGATTTTCAAATTGAATTAATCGAATCTGGTCGCTTTGGCTTGCTTTGAACAACAGCTTCAATCTTCTCCATAACTGCAGGATTCGGCAATGTGATTACATCAAGTTCGTTCATGTTTTCTTGAATCTGAATGGGAAGAAAAAGAAGTTACTGTTTAGTTGCATGTAAACGTATTAGCTGTAGCGGTGGTGAATATAATCAAATACTATTCCACCCTTTAAAAGCCAAGTAAAAGTTAAGAACCAAATGCACCTGAATCTCAATGATTAAAAAAAAAACTTAATGGTTTAGTTTGATTACAATTACTAACGGTAAATAAACGCTTATAATGTCCACGCAAACACCAACAACATGAAATTAATCAATCATACATACTTGCAAATTACTTACTCAAACTTGTAGACAGATGAACTATGAAAACAGAAAGAACATATTTGTTCAGACATTTGGTAGAAGTTTTTAACTTACAAGAATGCACTTGGTTGTAATATATGCATGTTTGTTTAGATAGTTCAATTGCCTAAACAAGATATCTTTTTTCCCATTTCAAGAAAACTTTAACAAGAAACTCAAAAGTAATGAAATAAGGATAAATCCATAACATGTATTTTGGGTTGCAAACCTATCATTACCTGCTACTCCATAGCTTAATGAAAAAAATAATAAAAACAAGAAAGAAGAAAAAGTTGAAACATTAGATAGAAACTTCTTGTAACCATATTTCCACCATTTTACAAGTTTAGACTTGAGTTTTACCCACAATGTCTTAGCCTGCTGGCAAAAAATGGCACCTAGGTGAGGCAGCTATCCATGTATTCAGGAAAGATGGCCATAAAGGACATATGTCTATAAACCCTAAAGAATATATCACTCCATAGGATGTAAGTTGCAATCCTATCACTTGCTATCATATATACAAACAACTATCATCCCTGATTAATCTATGACATTCTCATTAAATTACCGCCTGTATGGGGCAAATTATTCAATGTCATTTTGTGTGTTCTTCTAATATCAATCATCAATATAGAAATATTCAAGTGCATGAATGCGTACCAAACAGAAAAATTTTATATTGCATTAGGAAGAATACGTGTTTACCATTGCTTCCGTGAAGAAATAAATTAATGAGATACATTACATGCTAACCTCAGATTCCTTTGTAGCACCAGCAATAACTGATGATACATTTGGATTTGCAGCACACCATGCAATTGCAACCTGAGCTAAAGGTACACCAAGTTCATCTACAATTCGCTTCAGTCCATTAACTTTCTTCAGCACATCATCAACTAGTGATCGGTTAGCATGATATATTCTCATTTATTTTTTGTACAAAACTATAAATATTCTTTAATCAGCGTTTCGTAAATATTAGTCATTGCTATTGAAAATGAGTTTTGATCCCGTGGACTTAATGATAGCCATTAAATTTTAATTCATAATAATTAAAAATTACCAAAAATACTTTAATTGGCCAAATTTAATTTTTCTTGATAAAAGTATAATTGATGTTAAATTAAATTCATAGGTAACTTCCAAATCTCCAAAGCAATAAACCATGCTTTCTTTTTTTCAAATACACTAAAAACTTTAGGTCTTAAACCCAAAACAAACTTCATAAACCTGAAAAACATCATACAGATAGTGAATAAAAATCACATTTACTATTTCTTTTGATATTAAATTGGTTGTATTTGGTACGTGTTCATATGAGTATTCATTAAAATGTCCCTTACAAACTTCATTATCAAAATGAGAAATTATTTTATATACTATGAGTGAAATATTTAAATTTTATAAGTAGGATTACAAGAGTGATATATATCCATAAAGTATAATTAAAAATAATTAAAATTAAAATTAAACATGTTTCAATATTTAACTCTGCTTGTAAAATTAAAAATTTACACTAACAATTGTGTTAAATACTAACTTAATCAAAATATCTATTATCATCACTTGAACAGCTTGTTTCCCCCCAAGAACATAGAACTTCTTGGTAAGTATGTTTAAAACTTATTAAACCCTTTTTTCCAATAACTTGAACGGCTTGTTTCCTCAGGAGCATGAACGCTCGGTAAATATCAAGTTTTGGGTTTTCCAATTATTGAAAGCAAAAAGAAAAAGCGTCTTTCATTGTTTTAGGGCTTTCTGAAGTTATCTATAGCATATTTAATTTAATATGATTAAATTCTAATTTATTTATCATGAATTAACATTGGTGTTGGTGGTTGTGGTTGATCCATATGGACCATATCAAATATACAATTATCACGAAACCAAGTTTGTAAAACAAGAACCTTTTTTTTTTTTTTACAGAAATAGCTGTCATAATTTTAAATTTAAAAATTTATTAGAAAAAAATTAAGAGTGCCATTAATTTTTTATCTAAAATATGATTGATCACTTAAATAAATTTATCCTTTTAATATATCTAAAGTTTAATTAAGTATCTTTAAAAAGAATAAGTTATTGTTACTTATTAGAATTAGGTTTAAGATTTCGATTATGTGTAAGAAAAATTATAATATCCTACAATGTCTATTTAAAATGGTGCTAATTAACTCTAAATTATCCTAAAATCATCTTTTTTTAATTTATTATTATTTTTAATAAGAAATTATATACTAATAAAGAAAAAATTAAAATAACAAAATTAAAATAAGGAATAAAAAAGTGTATTTACATATAAATATAATGGAATAAAATAAATAAATAAATAAATAAATATACAAAAAAAAAAGCAAAGAATTATACCTAACTTGTGCATTGGATTTTAGCACAAGGAAAAACCTTACAGCCCAAGGAAATGGCAATTGAAATCTTGCTGCCCATAAATTTATTAGCTTTGGATATGCCTTTACTGTTGATTAACTCCTTTTTTACTTTGAAAATTGCAAGAAGCTTTCCAAATTTCAGCTACAAACTTCTCCTACTTTCCTTCTATGTTTTCGGCTAATAACTTCTTAATTCTGAGTTTAGAATTGTGCCCTTTTTATAGAAATTGTATCCTTTTTTAATTTGCAAATTTTTAATACTAACTGAATCTATTAAAATCTCATCAAAATTTTTTTCCTTCTTATAGAAACTTGATTCCCTAGAATTTACCAAATCAAACTTAACTTTTATATTTCAAATCTAAATAAAATCACAATCTTTAAAAAATCAAATTTATGTTATTATGTTTACCATAAATAAAAATAAAACACACTTTGGGACCTTTAATTTGAACTTAAAAAATAATTTTTAAATCCAATAAAAAAAGGCAATTCGAAATCCAATAATAATTAAAACCTCCAACAAAGTAAATTCTATAATTACAAGTGCCTTTGTATCACCTTGGGAATCAACTGTTTGCAACTACTGAATTAATTCCTCAAAATTTGGCTTGACTGAGCTGAAATCTGGGTCCACAGTTTTTCATCATCTGATTGGTCGCTGCCTTTGGACCAAACACAATAATAAGAAGGTGGTTTAAAGAAAAAGGCTGTATGAAGGAAACAAGATTCTTCTTTAAAACTTCTGGGGAGAAGTCTAAAGCTGATCAAATCAAAGAATATAATATAAATCATACAATTTATAAAGCCCATAAGCATAACAAAACGTTTCTTGAGCGACTGCACGATAAGAATATCCAAACCAACCTTTGCAAGCAAAGCATACAACCAAACCTTGTTTGCTCGTCTTTAAATTTTCTATTCAAAGGTAGAATAGTGGAAACGGAAGAGTATAGGCTTTCACAACTAGGCGCACTATTTTGATATGAAAATAAATTTTTTGTAAAAAATGTGTTACTTCGTTGGTAGTCATGAGTTTGGCTTAAAAAAAAAGTTTTGAAGATAACAATGTAATTAATTTTGTATTTGAACATGTTTGCTTTGATTATTGTGAGCCATAACATATACGATTGGAGTAGTAGATATAATTTGAACAAGATAGTATATGAGTAAAAGGGAATTATCTCTCACTAAATGAAAAAATAAAAAAAATAGTCTATGACAAAGACATAAAGCAATACAAATAAATTAATAAATTAATTTTAATAAAGTAAATGAAATCTATTTTATTAAAATAATTTTAATAAAGTAAATAAAGTTGATGTTGACATAAAATTGACTTGAAACGACGAGTTTATCTTGGTAGAGTTAATATCAACATATATTATCATCTTGAAAAGAAAATAAACTCACACTTTGAACAAAGCATACATAATTTTATATATATATTGGATTGAAATATAAAAAATTTTTATCCTCCAAAAGGACCAATTTGCGTCCGGAGTGACCGGGTCATCATTACATTATTGCTTGTTTTTTAATTATCATTCAACTACTAACAATCCGGTACAGCCAATTGTACTTGTTGAAAATTCATTGCTTTGATACAGGAAATTTGAGCTAGAAGAATGCCTATATAAAGTCCATAATTTCCATTTCTTATACACACTTTTTGTAGCTATTTGCAGCTTCCAACAAAGAAACCAAGTGAAACACGTTTGCAAGGCATGGCACGGCTCTCTGAACAAGTAAGTATCTCGTATCTTTAAATCTAAAAATTACAACTCATCATACCTGTCTCATTAATATAGGTTTTTTCTGTTAAACCGTAATTTAAAATTCAGGAAATCAAAGATGGTAAATGAGCTGAAATTTTCAGATGGGTTGAATTGATCTTCACTTCATCTTAGCCAAAAGGCCGAGAAAAGTATTGAATTGCTCTTCGCTGATAAATGGATCATTTCATTTAAAATTGTTAAGAGTTTTTGACAAAATATTTTATTATTTAAATATTTTGTTAGATAATTTTATTTAATTAATTTGCTTCAAATATAAAAAACTAAGAGTTTAAAATAAATTTAATTTAAATATTTTTAATTATTTGGTTAATTCTAAAATTAACCAAATTAAATTTCATTATTTAAATTTTTAAAATTAATAAATCAGTTCGGTTAATAAAAATAAAATAGCATAATTTAATTAATCTAATTTTGAGTAATTTAATTTATGAGATTAAAGAGGAGAAAAACAACAAGATTTAAAAAACAAAAAAATACAAAAGTGACAATAACCAATATTTTAATTTAGGTATGCTATGAATACTTTGCATTTTATCTGTAACATAGTTTTATGCAATTTACAGGCGGAACTACTGGAAGACCCCGTTTGCATTGACATAGACAAAATGCTTAAGAGTCTATCAGAAAAATCATCTGAGCCTTGCATTTCCAAAGTACCTAATTATCTTCGTCAGGTGAACCAGAAAGCGTACGAACCACAGGTAATTTCAATCGGTCCATATCACCGGGGTAAGGATCACTTAGAAGCAATGGAAGAGCAAAAGCTTCGCATGCTTCAAAAGCTTCTTGAAGAAAGAGAGGAGAATCGTCTTTCAGTATTTGTCATGAAAATGAGAGAATTAGAAGATAAAGCTCGCAAATGCTATGCAGAACATGTGAGTGATCATGACTCAGATGATTTAGTTAAAGTGTTGCTCCTTGATGGTGTCTTTGTTGTCCAGCTAATTCGCTGGCGTTTAGTGGGGTGTCCAAATTATCTAAATGATATGGTAGATTGTTACAAAAATGGATTATGGAATGCTTTATATCAAGACATGTTATTAGTCGAAAATCAACTTACCTTCTTTGTCCTTAGGGAGTTATTTTGTTTAATTGTAAGTAGTCGGGCTGATAAGGATAGGATCTTCAAGGAAGCAATTTATCAGACGTTGGGCGGTATAACACCAGGCAAAATGCGCCCGAGAGACGATCTGAGGTCCTTGAATTTGTTAGATATCAAGCATTTGCTCGACTTCACGCATCACTGCTGCTTTCACCCTTCAACTTCAGAAGTGGAGGCCCGTAAAAAGAACCCCAGAGACGATAATTCAACTTCAGAAATGAAGGACCGTGAAGAGAACCCTAGAGATCGGAATTGCTTTATATCATATATCAAGCATTTACCCGATTTAAGGTGTCACTGTTTCTGCCATCCTTCATCTTCACAAAAAAAGAATGAACTGAATTTCATACGTTGTGCCACAGAGCTCAAAGAGGCAGGAATCAAATTCAAATTGGTCAATGGAAATCCCATGTTCGATATATGGTTTGAAAATGGGACTCTACATGTCCCTGAAATCAAAATAGAAGACTATACGGAACCTGTCCTCCGAAATCTCATTGCGTATGAGCAGCTGTTCCTAGCAGACAGAGATCTCAAGTTTGCCACCGATTATATGTTTTTTATGGACTACCTTATTGACTCTCCAAAGGATGTGGAAATACTTTGCCAACAAGGAATTATTAAGAACATGTTAGGTGATGACAAAGCAGTTGCCGCCATGATTAATGCTCTAAGTTTCGGTGTCACCTTCTCCCCCAGCTTCCATTACACTGAAGTATTCAACAAGATAAACGAGTATCGCAGTAGACGTTGGAACAGCTGGATGGCGAACTTGAAGCACAACTATTTTAACAGTCCATGGGCACTCATTTCCTTTCTGGCTGCTGCTCTGCTCCTTCTACTTACGCTGCTACAAACTGTATTTTCTGTTCTCTCTTATGCTCAATGAATTCCCGCTCTCTAATGTGTTCTCTTATTGTTAATATCTCAAGTGTGGAATTGCTACTTCAAGTAGAAACTGGGAGCATTTAGAGGAACTACTAGGTCTTGAGGCAGTATGGTACTTTCCTTCAAGGAGACCAGCAGGCTAGCATTTGGATCCATTTATCGGAAACATTAAATTTATAAACGACGGGTTCCGTGGACTTGTTTGGGCTGGGTTTGGGTTTTGCTTGAGGTCCAAGCCCAAGCCGACTAAAGTCAAATAATTGATTTTAATATTTTATGTAGACAAAAATATAGTTTGAACAAAACTTCCATCGATTCATCCAACTGGGAAACTGAAATTCCAACATTAGATTTGATCCTTTTAAAGGGATAACAATCACTAAATAAGTCTGAACTTTTAACTCAAAAATTCCATTTTATGGTAACAATAATAACAATAAAAGACTCTAACTCTATAGGCTACCGCCCTTCAACATTGATCCATCCATGTGTTTTCCACGGTGCAGCCTCTTTTTTTGTCCCTTTCTGGTTGGAACAGGTGACAAAAAGGGAAAATTCTATGTACCTAGGATTAATTCTATGGATGTTATTAAATATATGCAGTTCTTGTTATCACACTTAATTTTTTATTTAAAATTAACATCAATATATATAATGTAATCAAACTTTTTATGTCATGAACCTGATAATTAATTGTTCAAAACCTTTGTTGGAGTGGCAAGAATACTTAAAATAATCTGTTCTTTTGCTCAGAAAACTCACAAATAAAGTATAACATTTAAAGTTTAAACAATAAGCAATAGGAATGGAGTCAGCTAGCTAGCCCTTCAAGCCAGTTACATATATAGGAAAGGAGTGAGAGGTGTTAATGACGGGATCGGGTCGGATAGGCTGCTGTTGCTTAGCATAACTATTTCAACAGTCTTTGGGCACTTGTTTCCATTCTTGCTGCTGTTGTTCTCCTTCTACTTACTATGGTGCAAACTGTATTTTCAGTTCTGTCTTATGTTAAGTACCTGCCAATTCTTACATGTATTCAGTTTTTGCTTTGTTAAGGGGAAAACGACCTCACATCTAATAGCTTTTAGAATTCCGTTTTTGATAGCTAGGCTTATGAAACTTTATTCTATTAATGATGATGTAATATGCACAATGTCTATTCATCAAGCATTTTTCAATTCTAAAAACGAACAGAAAAAAAATGAAATTCAAAATTTATATTAATAAATTATTAAATTGAAAAGAACTTTAAATAAAATATTAATTCAAATTTCAAACAGGATACGTTTTTAAATAACGATAAAAAAGTTGCATATGATAAAAAAAATATAATAACTCTATTAAACAATAAATTTAATGGATAAATCATAAATCATATACAATACAATAAATTTTCTAATTTTGCTTTCTGGAAATGCTAAACTCTTGTGCTAATGGTGATAAACTCTAAAGCATCTCTACATGAAATATAATTTACAGTTAATAACTTGGTTATAAGGTACCCTGCATTCCTTTATTACTTTTCAAAGAAAAAAAAATAAAAATAAAGTAAAAAAAAATAGCAAGATCAAGTCTTGGGAAAAAGCAGCAGGCAAAAATCAATTACTTTCATATCACTCTTAAACTAATACGATACGAAAGATAAGTGGTACTAACTTGGAATAATAAGTTCACATTACTCGCAGCAAACAATTGTATTTTAAAAAGTATTTTCAATAATTTACATATTATATATATATATATATAATACATAATAAAAGAGAGTATATTTTCTTATTTTTAAAGAGCAATTCCAGAAAATATGGTTTGCGTGAGTGTAAATAGAACGATGACTGCAGTAGCAAAAACGGAAATAAGTGCCCAAGGACTGTTGAAATAGTTATGATTCAAGTTGGCAGGCCATTTGATCCGGCGTCGTCTGCAATATGCATTCACTTTCTTAGATACTTCATGGTAGTAGATTGAGGAGTAGAATAGTAGTCAGTAAGCCCATCACCTAAACAGTTGTCAACAATTTCACAATGTGCGAGTATTTCCACATCTTTTGCAGAGTTAATAAGACAGCTCATGAATATGGCATAATCCGAGATATGATTAATATCTCCGCACGGGGAAAGCTGCTCCAAGGCAACGAGATTTCGAAGCAAATAGTTTGTGAAGTCATTGACTACCTTTTCAAAGCCCCTTTTTCATACTTAATATATAACAAGCTCTCTCCCTCCAACTTTTTGGACCTGATTCCAGCCTCTTTGAATTGCGTAACAGAATGTGTTTAACCGAACTGAATTAAATTCAGTCAATTATTTTTAAAATTAATAAATTCAGTTCGTTTAATTAAAATAAAATAAAATAATTTAATTAATTAGATTTTAAATAATTTATTTTGAAATTAAACAAAAGGACTAATAGAATAGCATAAGCCTCGACCCTCTATTCAAAAAAGAATAAAAAAAAAATCATACCCTACGGGCACTTGGCTTCACCCTCCACTCAACACACCTTGTTTTCACAGACAACTAACCCCTATTTACACAAAAAAAAAAAAAATCCAAAAGGTTACACAAACTAACTTTGAAAATGTCCCTACCACACAGTAAAAAATTCATCCATATCTGTTGACCGTAGGACTCAATACCGCCTGTATTCGTCGACAGCTTTCATTTTATGTTAGATTTTAGATTGGGTAAATAATTTTTAAATTATAATAAATATTTAACATGATATTTAATTTTTATAAGTTTTTAATATAATATTTCAATTATAAATTTATTCATTAATATAGTACTTAATTTTAATATGATTAATTTTAAATAATAATATATAACAAATAAATTTTTTTTTTAAATATCATATTAATTATCAGATTTATAATTTAAATATCGTATTATAAATTATTAAAATTCAAGTATCATATTAAATATTTTATTATAATTTAAACATTAACCCTTTTAGATTAGTAGGACAGGGTATGGTAAAGTGTTGGCGTGGAACTAATTGTAGCTTCGACTTCTTAGAAAAAAAGGAAATTGAAGTGCAGGTGTTGGTTGACAACCAAAAATGAGGTGAGTCAACTCACCACTAATAACATCAATTTTACTGATCTAATTTTGATACAAAATTGTAGTTGGAGAACTGTATTGCTTCGTAAACTATAATGGAAAACTCCACTAATTCAAAACTCTAATGTCAACCATGGCTGAAAATTCAGAAATTATTGTTAAATATTGCCTTAATTTATAATTTACACATTAATCAACCACTAATTTTTCTCTGTCTTGCCCATAAAACAAACAACTAAAACGAGTTGTGCAAAGATCATGAAAAGAGAAGAGAGCATCGAAAACTTTGTAGGAAAAAACACCGGCGCCCAACTAGCCAGCTTCGACAAATCAAAATGTACTAAACCGTCAACAAAATCAACTACCATTATGTCTTCTTCCTTCTTCCTACTAGTTATCTTCTGCAAATTCATCACCTGTTTCCTATCACATTCTCTTTTCCACCAGAAAATTTTCTAGGAAATTTTACCTGGATGTTTGGTACCACCTTTTCTTTTAAATCCTCCACCAGGGAATCCAAGTAACCCCTGGAAGACTGTAACAGGTAACTTATATACAATTTTTTATATCCGTTTTTATGGTCAATGAAATTGCCTGTCAATGAGGATACTGAATATATAATATATGCTTGTATTACACAATATATGCTTCAACCTTATCAAATTATGCTTAATTGCAAGTGATTTAATTTTGTTCTTATTATGTCGTATCTATGAGAGCTAATGCTTGTAGATTGTACTATTAATAGTTATATTTATATAAATTTGTACTACCTTTGAATTGCCGGTTGTCGTATAGTTAATAATGGAATGACTCAACTGATTTGGTGATGGTCCAATAGAAACTATACACAGTGAATTTAATCCTAATGGAACTGCTGCAATGGAGGATTTGAAATTTGTTTCCTTATTCCAGCATTGAGCATCTGAGGTGCGGGAAGAAGGGCAACAGGTGAACTTTTCTTATATTGTTTTAATCGTTTTGTTTCTTCTTTCTTTTTGAATTATTACTTATCTTACAATAAATCATTTATTATATAATCTCTATTAAGGCCACAATTTATTTCACAATGTTAAATTGAATACAATTTTTCAATTCTAAAAAAGAATAGAAAAAAATGAAATTCAAAATGTATATCAATAAATTATTAAATTGAAAAGAATTTTAGTAAAATCTTAATTCAAATTTCAAACAAAATGCGTGTTTAAATAGTAGTGAGAAAATTACATATGATAAAAAAAATAATTGATGTACCAAACGATAAATTTGATGAATAAATCATAAATCAAACACAATACAATAAATTTTCTAATTTCGCATTTGAAAATATTAAACTCTTGTGCTAATGGTGATAAACTCAGAAACATCTCTGCATGAAATATAATTTACAACCAATAGAATATTTAGATAAAAAAATAAAGTAAAAAAAAAAATGAAATACCAGCGATAGTCATATTCACACCCGCTTTTCAACACTCAAGCTCCTAAAGAGCCACGTCTCTTTGTATTTTAAACTTTAAACCTGCTACCCATTATTTCGGTTATCTTCACCTTTCCTTCGGTAAATTTTGGTCATCTTACCTTGACCTTTTGGGCTTTTCCTTTGGTCAAAGTCTAAAATTGACTTTTATTTTCTTGCGACTTGGGAGTTGTTTTTCTCAAATGAATTTTTAATAAAATTTAAAGTTCCAAAGACAAACCCTCCACCATTGACTCCTAGGGCCAATCTGAAAGGATTTTTTTCTTATAAATGCATTTTATTCATCCTAAAAGCAAACCAAGTTTGCTACAAACGTGTTCAACTGAAACATTACAAACTTACAAAACACTTAACTAATAAGTCCCCAAGAAAAAGAGAAACTATAGTTCCTAGAGGATATGACTTGCTGAGAGGAGTTACAAATCCTTAGTTGAATTACCTCCTTGATACAAGCAACAACAGAATCAACAGTGCAGGAGGATCGGCCCCTGGAAGGATCATATCTTCAATCTCATGCATAATTAAGAACAAAAGGCCTCATGTTCCCTTGTAGTTTACAAAAAAATAAGTTAAAAGTTTGAGTGATTGTGGGGTTACAAGAAAACCTTTTCGGATGAAGGAATTTTGGGGGAAATGGGGGAGAGTTGCTTTACTATCTAATCCAACTTTTGAACTTCTCTCTAAGTAGTTTTTCATAGTTTATACTTTATATCTAAGTAAGAGAAAGAAATAAAAAAAATTAAAAAATCAACAACCAGTTACTAAAAGTTGCCCGTCTCAAATTTTAAGTGGGAGTTGACGTGGCTTTTTAAGAGCCCGAGTGTTGAAAATCGGGTGCAAGTATGACTGTAGCTAGCAACAAAATAGCAATCTTAGGAAAAAGCAGGAAGCAATAATCATTTACTTTCAAATCACACTGAAACTAATATTACACAAAAGATAAGTAGTACTAACTTGTAATAATAAGTTCACACCACTCACAGCAAATTATAATTGTATTTTAAAAAGTATTTCAATAATTTACATAAAATATATATAATACTTAATAAAAGAGAGTATATTTTCTTACTTTTAAAGAGCAAATCCAGAAAATATGGTTTGCAAGAGGGTAAGTAGAACGATGACTGTAGCAGAAAGAACGGAAATAAGTGCCCAAGGATTGTTGAAATAGTTGTGATTCAAGTTGGCAAGCCATTTGTTCCGGCGTCGTCTGCAATATGCGTTCACTTCATAAGAGACTTCAAGGTATTGGATTGAGGAGTAGAATACTGAGTAAGTAAGCCTATTAAACATGGTGGCAACTGCTTCATCATCACCTAAACAGTTGTCAACAATTTCACAATGTGCAAGTATTTCCACATCTTTTGCAGAGTTAATAAGACAGTTCATAAATATGACATAATCCGTGATAAGATTCGTATCTGCGCACAGGAAAAGCTGCTCCAAGGCAATGAGATTTCGAAACAAAAAGTTTGTGAAGTCATTGATTACCAAGGTTGGCATTTCCAGAGTCCCTTTTTCATACTTGATCCATAACAAGCTCCCTTCATTTTTTTGAACTTGATTCCAGCCTCTTGGAGTTCCGTGGCGCAACGTGTGCGCCTGGAATCCATATTTCCTTTCCTATCTTCCTTCATTCTTTTGAACTTGAGTTTCGTGGCACATGTGCACCTGGAATCCATATTTCCTTCCATATTTAGATGTTCCTTAATTTCTGTAAGTGAAGGACTCCAGTATTCATGTATCAAGTCCAGTAGATGTCTGATTTCACCGATCGGCTTTACATTATCTTTAAAATACCTTAAATCAGGTAATACGTGTTTGAAGAATTCCAAAATCTTCCTAGTGAAATCTACCTTATGGACAATCTCAATCATCTCAAGTAACTCCAATACAACAAAGAAGGGAATTTGATTTTCAAGTAATAACAAATCACGGGGTAAGGAGCAGCATAAACCTCTCACCTTAAAAATGGGGTCATTGTCCACCTTTGTCGTTAATCCAAAGTACATCCGAATTAGCTAAACAATAAAGCAACCATCGAGAAGCATCATTTGGACGAAATCATCTGATTCAAGACGTACAGGGTCTTTATAGCAATTGCGAGCTTTTCTCTCTAAATTTCTCATTGCCATAATATATATTGAGACATTGATGTACTCTTTTTCTTCAAGTAGCTTTTGAAGATACCAATACTTAAGCTCTTCCATTGCCTTTAAGTGAACCTTACCGCTGTGGTAAGGACCGATTGCACATTGGTGTGGTTCATAGGCCTCATTATCTACATTGCGAAGATAATAAGGCACTTTGCAAATGCAATGTTCTGGTTGTATTGGGAATAAGCTTGCAATCTTTCGATTTACGTTAATCAAAACAGGATCGGCCGCCATCACTTTTCTTCTGCTAATTGCACCAAACCAGATTAATTATTATTACAAATAAAAATGCGCAACTTTCAAAAGTAAACCTACCACAGATGAATTAATATGACCCAAACAAAAAAAAAAAAAAGAAAAAACTACCACTAAAGGATTTTATTGAATTTCCATTACTCCATGTTTGCATATACCATTTTCATGCTATCATTTTCTTAATTAATTTGCAAAAAATGCAAGACATGAGACCTACTTGTTCTTCTGAAGAGGGGATGAATCACTTGATTTCTCTGAAATTAATAAAAAATTTTGGTGACAATAATAATTTACTGGAGCGATGACTTGGTACAAATTTTGTTTCTCTTTGTTTAGTTGCTAGTAGCGGTCCAAGGTAGCATTAATAATTGATTTGAGCAACGACTTGTTAAAACTTTTTTTTCTTTTATTTAGTTGCTACTAACGGGCCAAGGTAGCAATAATAATTGACTTGAACAACGACTCGTTACAATTTTGTTTTTTCTCTTTATTTAATTAAATTTAATAATTTATAGTCATATAATAAAAAATATTAAAAATTTATATATTTATATCATATTTTATATATAAATTACATATTATAATTCGCATCAATATAATAATATAAAATATATTTTTTTATTTTATTAAATTTATATATATAATTTTAATTAAATTTTAAATAATTTTATTTTTTTTATCATTTTCATATGTATAAATGCAAATCAACCTTTTTATTATTATAGCATTTGATGTGAATATGTAAGATTATAAAAACAAAATAATCTTATCATCAAAAGGAGATATTTTTAGTAGTTGTGAATACTCCAATAATTTTTTCACACCCAATTTTTTATTATAAAATTAACCTTAGATAAAATTATTTAAATATGTTATTAAATTACTTTTTAACCCTCCATACATCATTTTCTCCTTTTCTTTTTTTTTTTTGTTTTCTACCTTTCTTACCAACCTTTTTTTTATCTCAAACCAGAAACCTTTAAAATTACTTTTGTTATCTTGTACATCGTCGGTGGAGATAAGAGTGCCAAACAAATGATGGAAGTAAGTCAATTAAAAATCAATTTCAACTGAAATTTTGCACATTCCGAAAATCTCGATAAAATATTCGTTGGTGACTTTTTATTTGTTCTATTGTTTTACTTATTATTTTTTATATTTTTTCTTTATTTTTATTCTTTTATTTTCATTATTTTATTTTTATTTTTATTTTATTATTATTTAAAAGTATTTAGAAGAAAATTATAGTTTTAATTTTTCCAAAGTTTGTTTGATTTATATTTTTTTTACCAATTTCAACAAAAAATATTTTATTTTTTTAAATATTTTTTACCGTTTATTTTATTTTCTTATAAAAAAATTCACACAAAATAATAAAATAATAAAAATATATAAAATACCGAAAATACCCCTTATCAATTGTGACCAATAATTCAACAGCTGTCCGGTCGGTCCATCTCTTTTCAACTGGTTAGGAGCGGTTCAGTGCGGTTCGTTGCAGTTCAACCCGGTCCAAGCTGGTTCAGCTCAATGGGGCGGATAATCGGGTCGGTTGCGCGGATCTCAAGTTGGTTCTTGGGTCGGAGCGCAGATCCCCTTGGTCTCGGGTTTCGGCTGTTTAAGAGAAATTTCTTTTAAATACTTGGCAGCGTTTCCCCCCCCCCCCCCTTTTTTTTTTTAGGGGGGCGGTGGGGGTTCTGTCTAGTGTTAGTAGAGATCAAGAGAGATTGGGTTGCAAGGGTAGTTCGGGTATGGGAGGCCAAAGGTGGTGCCGTTGGATGTTGAGGAAGGTTAGGCCGAATTGGAAGGTCAGGGTTGAGTTGTGAACGTTACTGGTGTTCACAGGGGGGAGCTAGCTTTCGGCTCGGGTCGTGCCTGTCGGTAGGTGGTTTTGGCCGAGTCGGTGGAGGAGAGTTTGGATTCGGGGTAGTGTGTGTATGGATCTCGTTTAGGCAGTGTTCTTGGTTGATATCTGTTATTTTTGGCAACTCAATTTATAGAGCTGATTAAGTCTTCAAATCCCATGTTCTAAGGGATTGCAAAATACTTTTGGCCACCGCATGTAGCTTTGAAGCCGAAAGGTGGATGGGGAGGGCCTGGCGCCGAAAGTGGGTAGGGTAGTGAAGCAGACCAAATGATGGAAATAATAATAATAATAATAATAAAACAAAATAAAAGTTAATAATAATAATAAATTTTAGAATGTTGATAAAATTTAAAATGACTCAATCAGCTTGAAATACCTAATTAAAGTGTTCGAACGATTTAAATGAAGCCAGAAATCGTTTTTGATTTATTTGGATGCAACATTTGGTTTTCGCGATAAAACAAGTGTTTATAGACACAACTATAAATACTCAATTTTTCATTCTCTCATTTTTCTCTTCGCTTTTGCGATTACACTCCTTTCTTCCTCCTTATCCTCTAGAGTGATTTGAGGGTCGGAACAAAAATACGTGAGCTACTTTCGGCCTTGACTTTTGACTTCATTCTCAATTTTCAGATGCTTAATCTCATTCAGAAATTTGCATAAATAATATTGATGTATATTTGTTTTGAAATTGATTATTTTCAAGTAATATATTTTATTTTTTATTGTTTATACTTTTGTTTATTTTATTAATTTTTTTCTTATACAAATCGAGATCAATTGAGCTTTAAAGTAAATAAAGAACGATTACTTCTTCCGTCTCATAAATTTTACCATTTACATCCTAAATTAAATTGGAGAAAAGAACGAAGTCGACAGTGGCAGAGCCACATTGATGCCCCCCAAATTTTCAGAAACTTTTATCTAGATATGTTGTAAATCTATTAGTGTCCCTCTAAAACATGCAAATGGCCCCTCTAGAAAATAAAATATATTTTTTGTGAGTATAAAAATTTAAATTTAAAAATAAAAAATTCAATTTTTAAATCCAATTAATTTGCAAAATATTAAAATCTAATAGTTTAGTTATCATTAAAAAAACTAAAAAATGGTTTTATTAAATATAACCCACATTAAAAAGTCAAAACTCTAAAAAAAGTAGCAAAAAATTAAAAATGTAAAATTGATAGAACAGAAAGACACACAAATCTTAATCCTTGAAGGCCTAAACCAAACACCAAACCACTATACTTATTGCAAAATAAATGTATTATTGTTTCTCAAAAAGCCTATTACAATGACAATACAGAGGCTGGTTAACTATACTTATTGCAAAATAAATGTATTATTGTTTCTCAAAGAGCCTATTACAATGACAATACAAAGGCGGTTAAAACTTTTTTTATGATAAGACTATTGCACCTTCGTCTTATGATTTTGAAGCCATTAATTGTAAATTAAAAGTTTTTTTAAAATTTAAATTTGAGAAAATTATTAATATTTATGATAAAATGTGCAAATTTTGATGTATGCATATAAACATTGTGTGAAAACTACTTAGTTTTTTTAACTCTTGTAGCAATAAAGCTAAAGGGTAAAAAATGCCCATGAACTATAATAAAAAAAATCATTTAATCCGTCAATATTTTATTGCAATCAATCGAGCCTTTAATCTTCTATTTTGACTCAATTGAACCCTTAATTGGATGAAATTTAGTCACATGGCAAAATTGAATCAATCAGTCTCCAAATTATAGTCAATTGAACCCTTAGAGGGATCTTAAAGAGAAATAAGAAAGAAAATAGAGAAGAAAAAATTTATTTTATTTAATTTTCACATATATTAATTGCATCATGTGGTAAAGTTTCATATATTCTATGAATGTCACATGAAATTTTATCTTAGTTGGTAAAAAAAATAAAAAAGTTGTTAACTTTTTCATCCAAATAAGGGCTTATTTGGATGCAAATAAATATTGGAAGGTTTGATTGGTTGCAATTTAAAAAAAAAAGAGCTTAGATAATTTTTTTAATTATAGCTCAAGGGGTTTTTTTATCTTTTAACGTAAAAATAAAAATCCATATTGTTTTATATAATGAAATAAATTACTTAAATTATTTTATATATGTTTTCATTTAAACTTTATGCATTAGATATATGTTAAAAAAATTAGTTAAACTCTTATTTGATTGTTATAATTGTAGAGATTTCATTTTGTTTAGAAAAATTTTCAGCATTAAAATGGGCTTAGAATTCTTAAAGATGGAATACAAAATTGTAATTGGGCTTAGTTAGGAAATTGAATTTTAGATACAGAGATCAAAAAGCCTAAAATTATGTTGTTGTTGTTGTTGTTATTGTTATTGTTGTTGTTGCTATTGTTATTATTATTATTTTCTATTTTATTTTATTTTTTAGTTTTTATTTTAATTTTAGTTTTTTATATTATTTTTGGGTTTCCTTTAAAGAAAAAGAAAAAAAGAGGAAAAAAATTATTGGTTTTGCAAAAGGAAAATTGAAAATTTTGATTTCTTTGATTATTTTAAAATAAGAGATTTAAGAATGCGTTTGGAAATATTTGGGCATCAAGACATTGGCAAAGGAAATGATCCCAGAAAAATCTTGAAAATTTTTTATAGATTTAGTTGAAATCAGAATCTTTCCAAATTGAAAGGAATTTGATCCTTGTATAAAGAACCCAAATTTGCAATCACTAATGCAAAGAAGCAACACAATCAACAATCATCAAGTAATATAAAGTTTTGAGTTTTGAAGAAGAAATTCTCTATCAAAGAGAGAAGAAAAATCAATAAGTAATTGGAGGAGGAGATCACAAGAACAACAGGTAATTTAACAAGGCAACAAGCAATTAAGAAATCAACAATAATAAAAAAGAATCACCAAACAAAGAGAGAGAGAGAGAGAGAGAGAGAGAGAGAGAGAGAGAGAGAGAGAGAGAGAGAGAGAGCCATATACATAATATTAAAACAAACAAAGTCAAGTAAAATTTTTCTTAGTAGTAAGCTCAATTTCGGATTGGTCTAAAAGTATTGGTTAGGTAATTTTTCTTTTATGCTGTTATATTTATTTGTTGTTTAATTTGGTTTG